AGCACAGCCCTGTGTCAACGGGTATTCAGTGGGAAAAGCAGAATATGGTATATGATAGTGACTAAGTGGATAGGGATGAAGAAGGTCCTGTTATGGATCAGGTTCAGGCCCAGAAGGAGGATAGTAATAGAGACACATCACCTTAAAGCCATATAGTAAACAGAAACTTCCTTTAAATATACACACAACACATTTTACCCCATTATGTCTTTTCACTCTGTGGTTTTGCACTCTCTGCACCAGCAGTCCTTTGACCCCTGTAAGTATAGTACATAAGTGTTCTGTGGATGTATTGAAGTATGTGAGATAGTAAATTTATAGACAAATAGGATCATGCTATTTCATGGAAGTTAAATAAATAGGCTCAAAACTTTAAACATTAGGGAATATATATCTTGCTGTTTCCAAGATGACATTTCCTCTCCTAAAAGTAGCAAGTGATTTCACCTCAGTTACAGAATCTTTTATGATCAAGAAAATTGTAGCCTGGCCTCATGATATTAGCATTGTAAGTCATATAGTTGTACGACTGAGGAAGGAAAATCACAAATTCAAGACCTGAATGTGTTGTGATGTGAGTTCAAGGCCAGCTTGTAAAATATAATTTCAAAATAAAATAAAATAGCTAAAGAGAAATAGTTAGGTGGTATAACATTCGAAGGTCCCCAAGTTCAATGTCCAGTATGGAAGAGAGCAAGAATAAACTAAAGGAAGGAAAGAAAGATAGAAATCCGTGTGTTACCTAACTTGAACTAAGATCTTCTCATTGCTCAAGTAGATGTCCGTTTTATTGTTCTTATGAAACATCTGGTAGGCAATCATTGCTCTTTCTACTGTGGGCATTGTATTCACAGGCAGATATGACTGACTGTTGGTGCTGGTGACTAGAAAGGCTGTGTTTTGTTTCACCCCCTTTTGTTGAGGGGCTAGTGGGTAAGTTAATGTTAGAAGCTGGGTTTTCCTGACAGGGTTCCCAGTCTTAGAAGCTGAAGACTACAGCTCAGTTATTAATCTTGCTACCTTGCACTGAAAAAAAAGTATTTTTCTCTTTGAAACTTAGATTTCTTATTTATGTAGCAAGGCACATAATCTCAGCCTGCAGGAGTTCTGTGCTGAATAGATGAATGACTGTGGAAATAGTTTTCCTATAAATGTAAAGTACTATTAAACTTATGTAAGAATGAGAAAATAAGTAAAAAGGGATTTTCTCATCTGCATTTTGTTCCTTTTTTCTTGTTGCTATTGTCTTTCAATTTCCACACACCTGAACTTTAATTTACTTAAATTCATGAAAATGGGACAAATGAACATTTTCCCACTGATGTAATAGGTATACAGCACAGAATACTTAAACCAAATATTTTCTAAATCTTTTGATTTTCAATGCAATATAACCAGGTATTAATAAAATAAATAATAGAAAGACACTAGTGTCTTGTCAAGAACATTCAACTCCATAAGGAAATCAAAACAATCCCAGAACAGAGAAAATATGAAAACTAACATCATTATGCAGACACTAGTAACTCCATGATGAGAGGAAAATGAAAAAGAAATTCTTGCCAGCTTGGGTTGTTAATAATTATATAAATCACTTTCAGGATTCTGTGTGAGCAACAACTATATATGTGCACATTTAAAATGAAACTAAACAGGAAACAATTTGCATTGCTTGGTTTTCCCTCAAGTAATGTGCAACATATGTCATCAGTTTGGGCTATGATTTCATCCCTGCCTTTTCCTATCAATGAAAATTACTCTATGGTGACTGGCTTCTTGAATTCTTTGTATATTTTGGAGAATATCCCTCTATCAGATGGGAGAACAGAGAAGGAGAGCTGGGAAAGAGATACCTTGAAAAAGAGAGAACTATTATGGGCTTAATGAGAAATTTGCATTGGGCAAATTCCCAGGAATTCACAAGGTTGATCCTAAATTAGGAATCTAAGCAATAGTGGAGGGACTACCTTAAATTCCATCCCACTATAATGAGATTGATGATTACCTTAAATGCCATCATAGAGCCTTTATTCAGTAGTTGATGGAAGCAGAAGCAGAGATTCACAGCTAAGCATTGAGCTGATCTCCTGGAATCCAGTTGTAGAGAGGGAGGAGTGATAAGCAAAGGGATCAAGACCATGCTAGGAGAAATTACAGAAACAGCTGACCTGGGCAAGTGGAAGCTCATGGACTCCAGACTAGACAGCTGGGGAACCTGTATAAGACTGAACCAGGCCCGTTGAATGAGGATATCATTTGGGGGCTTGGGCAGTCTATAAGACCACTGGCAGTGGAACCAGTTTTTATACCTACTGATTTTGGAACCCATTCCTTATTGGAGGGATACTCTCTCAGCCTTCCCACTCCCTATGGAGTGATCCTAGATTTGGGGGGGGGGGGTAGGTCCTGCCCTAAATGATGTGACAGACTTTGATGATCCCCCATGGGACACCTCACCCTCTCTAAGGAGTGGATAGGGGGTGGGATGGGGAAATGTTGGGGGGAATGGGAGAACAAGATGGAGAGGAAACTTGGATTGGTATGCAAAATATAAGATTATCTTTATTTTAAATAAAAAAAATTAGTAAGAAAATCACTCTATGGTCAATTATCAGCATTTATTTTTGTTTCCTATTTTGTATAAAATATTTTATTTAATTTGACTATCTTCATTTACTCATACTCTGATTTAGCACATTGAAACATCCAGAATAAGAAGACAAACAACATTTTTTTATCACAAGACCTTGAAAAATCACTGATTGCTATTCACTGGATAGACTTGAGATCCTCAGTATAAAAGGCCCTATTCAGTGTTCTGTTTATAATCTTTTTTTTTTTGTTGTATAAGAAATGAGCATGTATAGACACAGAGTTCAGAGAATGTTTTTGTAGATAATAAGATAAGAGAATAGCATGGGGACTTCTTATGAGTACTCTTTTGGCCACTGCATATCAGAACATAGTCCATCTAATTACATATATCTTAATTTTCTGTTAACCAAGTGGCATCATTGAAACGGGAAGCTTTGCTCAACATTTCTCTTAGCTCTTTTGCAATGGAATGATGAAACATATCTGGTAGAGTACCAATAAATTGGATGATAGAGATCTCAATAGCCTGGAACAACTTGCTCGATCTAACTAAAGTGAATTTTAGAGAGACAGTTTGCAAAGTCAGCACTTAAAAAGAAACGCACAAAAGTACATGAAGTGGGACACATGGCTTCACTGCAGGGTAGTTTTTCCCTTCTTTTTTCCAAAGTGCTGTTAAAAAATAATAAAGCAAAACCTGAAAGTTCTGTGAAGTTACTTTTGTCTTCCTTTTTAGCCTTAACCACATTTTACATTTTTAATAATAATACCTGCAGAGTACCCAAGGACTGAATATAACATACTATGAACAGAGTTATAGACACTGATTAACTGATATAGAAACAGGAGACAAAAATACAGTGAAAAACTATAATCACCCACCCACCATAGGACACTGTGGTGATTTAAATGAGAATGACCCCATAGGTTCCGGAGAAACATTATTTGAAAGGATTAGGACATCTGGCCTTGCAATAGTAAGTGTGGTCCTGGAGAAATGTGCTCTGGGGGTAGGCTTTGGGGTTTCAAATGCCTAGTCAGACTCAGTCTCTCTCTGGCTCTCTCTCTCCCTGATGCCTGTTAATCCATATGTAGAACTCTCAGCTGCTCTTCAGCACCATGTCTGTCTATGCGATACTACACTTCCTGCATGCTGATAATGGACGAATCCTTTGAACCTCAAAGCCAACACCAATTAAATGTTTTCCTTTAAAAGAGTTGTCATGGCCATGGTTTCTCTTCACAGCAATAAAAACCCTAACTAAGACAGACAATGAAGTAATTGGATTGTCTAGATAAGAGAACTATATTTGTCATTCTGAGAAAATAGGCATGAGATGTTCATAAATAGTGTTAACAAAATAAGCTGAACAGATTTATATTTGGAGGAATACTGGAGTATACTGTCTATTGACATTGGCTTGACTAGTGTTATCATGCTTACTAGTGGCCTGTCTTGGTGAAAATCAATAGCTAATGTATCTTCAAGTTCTTGATCTATCTCAGAGAACTGAAACAAAAACATGACAAGTAGCATTAATACATTGAATGAAGGTGCATGTGGCATGTTTGTGATGTTGGGGATGGTGAGCAAGACAGATGGTTCATTGTGTTGGCAACAGACTCGTGTTCTCTGGAAGAGCAGCAAGCATTCTTAACCGTAAAACAGTCTGTTTAGACTCCTAGAATGATTATTGCTTTGGTTGGACTGTAAATGTACCTTTTAAAAGCTCATGTATTGAATCCATTGTTACTAGCTGGTAGTGTTTTAAGAATGAATTGGATCATGAGGATGCTGAATTCATAAATGTGTTAATCTGCTGAATTCATACTGAGTGGACTATTAGATTGTGGGCTCTATTTGGAGGAAATAAGCCACTGGAGGTATGCCCCTAGAAGACCAGAGTGGACTATTAGATTGTGGGCTCTATTTGGAGGAAATAAGCCACTGGATGTTCTCCCCTAGAAGCTGTACTTTGATTCCTTTGTTGTCACCTGTCCCAGTATGTCACAAAGTAGGCAGCTTTTATTCTTCCCTGCACTTTCACGAAAGCAAACTGTCTCACGATGAGCTCAGGAACAGCACAGCCAACTGTGTACTGAAACATTCCAAGCTAGCGTTGAGACTAAGTGCAACTTCTTTTAAGTTGTTTCTTGCAAGCATTTTTGTGCAGCCACAGACCATGATTGGCAGAAATATAAATATATATGAGAATATTCAGCATCTGCTATGTGTGTGTACATGCATGTGTGTGTATGCATGTATGTGTGTTTATGTATGTGTGTTTAACCAGTAAAATTTAAGAGTAAATATTGTTTTAAATAAGTTAATTACTTGTATATCACATAGTCTCATAAAGCATCAAAAATTTCATGTATGTTGTGGCATGGTGTTTCTTACTTACCTATAGAGAGCAGACAGTGGCCTCTTGTTTCCAGGCTTTGGTCTGTACGGTTTGGGTTCCCCTGCCATGTTAATATCTGAAAATATAAAATGGCATTGTTCAAAATAGCACTGAAAAATGATTTGAAAGCATTATGTCTTAGAATTTTTATTTTTTCTATTTATTTTGCAGATCATCCTACAATTATTTATTAAATAATTTATACTATGTGCCTATGTGTGACGTTTTTTATTTGGTGCTTGTATTTTTAGTGTGCATGTAAACACATATACAGGAATATAGGCGTAGGCTACATGGAAACGCAAGATCCACATCTGGTGTTTTCTCTTGATTTCACCTTTATTTTTTTTTTTTTTGAGACAGGGTCTCTCACTGAACCTGAGGTATGAAGTTGATCAGTTAAGGAAGTGCTCTGGCTAATTAGCTTCATAGATCCCTTTGCACTGGTGAAGAATTGTGGGAACATTGCTACCTCCCTAGTCCTTTTATGTAGGTTCTGAGAACTCAGACTCAAATTTTCATGTTTCTGTGGAAAATGCTTTACAATTTAAGCAATTTCTTCATTCCTCATTACACAAATCTTATATGCGTTTCTCTGTAAAATATATGGAAACATCTCCTTTACATGAGACACTGTTGGAATTGTCATATCCACACACAAAAAATTAGACTCTAGCTTGTCTGTATTTTATACTCTACCGAGGACATTTAGATGCGAAGAAAGAATTGAAGCAAATAAAAATATATAAAATATTGGAATAAGGTATGTTATGGAAAAATGTTGAAGAATGAGAGAAGAATCAAGATGTACGATGAAAACAAAGATAAAGAGATCCTTTTGTTTTTTAAATTTATTTGAGACTTCTCGATAATAATATTTGTAGGGTATATATCTCTGTTCCTAAAATTACTAATTTTCATCATTATGTCACTTCAATGCTTCCCTTATTTACTGAGGAAAAAATAAAATAAAATAATTTTTAGCATAAATTTAATGATTTACAATTCCAAGGTGGTTGCATCCTCACTTTATGAACTGAAAATGTGACCAAGAGTTTGAGATTGACAAGAAAATAGTACATGGAATTGCCAACCTTATGGTTAAAAGAAATGTTCAGCTTTTATGAAATTAGAAATTTGGGATTTAAAGAGAATCTTATACAGCTCAGGATGTCCTCAGATTCATGGTACTCCTGTATCAGGTTCCAGTGTTTACTATAACTTGTCAACATGATAGACTTTGTAATGAAAACTCTATAATAACTGGGTATATAAAAGGCTAATTATAAAGTTGAATTCCTACTTTCTACTCTTAAAAAACTTATCTGTAAATATGAAAGATAAAATACATAAAATTTAAGTGATAAGGGGATGAGAATTCATTTATGAGCTCAAAATATAGAATGATGATCTTAAACCAGACATAAAAATTACATTGTCCTTAAAATATAGCATTTGCGAATTATATGACACTAAATTATGAATATTTCCTCATCAATTGTCATGGAAACACCACAGAAAGAAGAAAAATCTTTGACAAAGTATTTGTTTCTTGCCGAGTGTTGGTGGCACACGGCTTTAATCCCAGCACTCTGGAGGCAAAGGCAGGTGGATCTCTGTGAGTTCGAGGCCAGCCTGGTCTCCAGAGTGAGTGCCAGGATAGGCTCCAAAGCTACACAGAGAAACTCCATCTCGAAAAACCAAAAAAAAAAGTATTTGTTTCTTGAATATATAAATACATCATATTCATCACAGGAAAGTGAGTTAAAACACCAAAAATAAGTTTGGTAAAAACTAGTAACATCACTTTATAGAAGAATAATGTGATAAATAAACAAATAAAAATTTGTCATTTTTATAAGTTATTAGAGATGTAAGTTAATATGGGTTCCTGAGTTCCCATTTTATAGACAGATAATATCATGTGTTGACTAGGTTTAGGAGCAAGTAGAATACACATAAAATGTAGGTATTGGTATAAATTAGTGAGGCTACTTGGGACACAATTTTGCAGTTTTAGAGTTTAGTGTTTAAAATTGAATAATCAGGGATGTGTTTAAAATTGAATCATCAGGGATATTAGACCAATATCCCTCATGAACAATGATTCAAAAATTGTCAATAAAATACTGGCAAATGGAATCCAAAAACACATCAGAAAAATCTTGCACCATGATCAAGTAGGCTTCATCTCAGGGATTCAGGGATGGTACAACATACAAAAATCTATCAATGTAATCCACCATATAAATAAATTGAGAAAGAAAAATCACATGATCATCTCACTAGATGCTAAAAAAGTGTTTGAAAAAATCCAGCACGCCTTCATGATAAAGGTTCCGAGAGATCAGGGACAACAGTAACATAATGAAACATAACAAAAGCAATATACAACAAACCAACAGCCAACATCAAAGTAAATGGAGAAAAACTCAACGGGATACCTCTAAAATCAGGAACAAGACAAGGCTGTCCACTCTCTCCAGACCTCTTCAAAATTGCACTTTAAGTTCTAGCTAGAGCAGTAAGACAACAACACAAGATCAAGGGGGATCAAATTAGAAAAGGATAAATCAAACTTTCACTGTTTGCAGATGATATGACAGTTTACATAAGTGATCCGGAAAAACTCTACCAGGGAACTTCTACAGCTGATAAACAACTTCAGCAAAGTGGCAGGATACAAGATTAACTAAAAAAAAAAATCAGTAGTCCTACTATATACAGATGATGAATGAGCTGAGAAAGAAATCAGAGAAACATCACACATTATATTAGCTACAAACAACATAAAATATCTCAGGGTAACACTAACCAAATAAGTGAAAGACCTGTATAGCAAGAACTTTGAGTCTTTAAAGAATGAAATTAAAGGTGCTGCCAGAAAATGGAAGGATTGAACACCTGATTTTTGACAAAGAAGCTAAAATTATACAATGGAAAAAAGAAAGCATCTTCAACAAATGGTGCCGGCATAACTGGATGCTGGCATGTAGAAGACTAGAGATAGATCCATATCTATTTCCATGCACAAAGATTAAACCCAAATAGACCAAAGACCTCAACATAAATCCATCCACACTGAACCTCTTAGAAGAGAGAAAGTAGGTGGTACCCTCCAACGAATTGGTACAGGAGACCACTTCCTGAACATACCACCAGTAGCACAGACACTGGGATTGACAATTAATAAATGGGACCCCCTGAAACTGAGAAGTTTCTGTAAGGCAAAGGACACTGTCAACAAGACAAAACAACAGCCCACAGAAAGGGAAAAGATATTCACCCACCCCACATCTAACAGAGGGCTGGTTTCCAAAATATATAAAGAACTCATAAGCTAGTCACTAAAACACCAATTAATTTAATTAAGAAGTAGCATACAGAACTAAATAGAAAATTCTCAATAGAGGTATCTAAAATGGCTGAAAAACACTTAAGAAAGTCCTCAACATCCTTAGCCATCAGGGAAATGCAAATCAAAACAACTCTGGGATACAATCTTGATCCCGTCAGAATGGATAAAATAAAAAAACACCAATGACATTTTATTCTGGAGAGGATGTAGAGAAAGGGGAACACTCCTCCACTGCTGGTGGGAGTGCAAACTTGTTCAACCACTTTGGAAATCAGTATGGTGGTTCCTTAGGAAAATGGGAATCAGTCTACCATCAGATCCAGCAATTCCACTCTTACGCATATACCCAAAAGACACACATGTATACAACAAGGACATATGTTCAACTATGTTCATAGCAGCATTATTTGTAATAGCTAGAACCTGGAAGTAACCTAGATGCCTCTCAACTGAAGAATGGATAGAGAAAATGTGGTACATTTATACAATGTAGTACTATTCAGTGGGAACAAAAAAACAATGGAATCTTGAAATTCGCAGGCAAATAGATGGAACTAGAAGAAACCATTCTGAGTGAGGTAACCCAGTCACAAAAAGACAAAAAATTGTATGTACAAACTCATACATGGATTTTAGACATAGAGCAAAGAATTACTAGCCTACAGACCACACTGACAACAGGAAACAAGGAGGACCCTAAGACAAGGGGTAAGGGACAAAATCTCCTGAGCTAATTGGGGCATGGGGAGAGGGGAAAGTGAGTATGAAGAAAGGGAAAGGGAGAAGAGGAGGGGAGAGGAGGTCATGAGAAGGCAAGAAGATTGAGTCAGGAGAAGAATAGAGGAGAGCAAGAAAAGAGACACCATAATAGAGAGAAAGATATGGTTTAAATAGAAATCTGGCACTAGGGAAATATACAGAGATCTACAAGGTTCACCCTAATTACCAATCTAAGCCATAGTTCAGAGGTTATCTTAAGTGCCCTTCTCTGATAATGAGATTGACAACAAACTTATATGTTATCCTAGAGCCTTCCTCCTGTAGCTGATGTAATCTGAAACAGATACTCACAGCTAAACACTCAGCTGAACTCTGGAATTCAGTTGCAGAGAGGGAGGAATGATGTAAAAGGAGGTCAGAAACAGACCTAGAAACCCACAGAAACAGCTGACCTGAACAAGTAGGAGCTCATGGACCCCAGACTGATAGCTGGGAATCCACCATAGGACTGTTCCAGACCCCTGAAAGATGATGTCAGTTTGGAGGTCTGAGGCCTCTGGTAGTGGATCAGTATTTATCCATAGCATACAAATGGACTTTGGTAGCCCACTCCACGTAGAGGGATACTCCCTCAGCCTAGACATACCGGGAGGATCTAGTCCCTGCTCCAAATGATATGACAGACTTTTAAGATCCCCAATGGAAGGCCTCACACTTCCTGGTTTATCAGAAAGGGGATGGGATAGGGTGATTGTTGGGGAGCAGAGGAGGGGGGAGAGAGAAGTAACTGGGACTGACATGTAAAACAAGCCTTTTTCTAATTTAAATAAAAATTGCTAAAAATAATCGAATCATCAGTTATAGAAACAGATGCAGAGATCCACAGCCAAGCACTGCTTTGAACTCCAGGAGTCCTGTTGAAGAGAGGGATGATGGATTGAATGAGCCATAAGGTTCAAGGTCCACAGAAAAGAACCCTGGGTGCTTATGGACTCTGA